AATATATATGCACCTAATATGGGAGCACCCAGATTCATACAGCATGTTCTAAGAGACCTACAAAGAGACTTAGACTCCCACATAATAATAATGGGAGACTTTAACACCCCGTTGTCAATATTAGACAAATCAATGAGACAGAAAATTCACAGGGATCTTCAGGACTTGAACTCAGCTCTGGACCAAGTGGACCTTATAGACAGCGACATAACTCTCCACCCCAAATCAACAAAATATACATTCTTCTCAGCACCACATCGCACTTATCCTAAAATTGACCATATAACTGAAGTAAAACACTCCTCAGCAGATGCAAAAGAACGGAAATCATAACAGTCTCTCAGACCACAGTGCAATCAAATTAGAACTCAGGATTAAGAAATCCACTCAAAATTGCACAACTACTTGGAAACTGAACAACCTGCTCCTGAATGACTACTGAGTAAATAACAAAATTAAGGTAGAAATAAATAAGTTCTTTGAAACCAATGAGAACAAAGATACAACATACCAGAATCTCTGGGACACAGCTAAAGCAGTGTTTAGGGTGAAATTTATAGCACTAAATTCCCACAGGAGAAAGCAGGAAAGATCTAAAATCGACACCCTAACATCACAATTAAAAGAATTAGAGAAACAAGAACAAACAAATATAAAACCTAGTAGAAGACAAGACATAACTAAAACACAGCAGAATTGAAGTAGATAGAGACACAAAAAAACCCTTCAAAAAAACCAATGAATCCAGGAGCTGGTGTTTTGAAAAGATCAACTGCTAGTCAGACTAATAAAAGAAGAAAAGAGAGAAGAATCAAATAGACACAACAAAAAATGATAAAGTGGATTTCACCACTGATCCCACAGAAATAAAAACTACCATCAGAGAATACTATATAACACCTCTATGCAAATAAACTAGAAAATTAGAAGAAATGGATAAATCCCTGGACATATACACCCTCCCAAGACTAAACCAGGAAGAAGTCGAATCCCTGAATAGACCAATAACAAGTTCTGAAATTGAGGCAGTAACAGCCTACCAACCAAAAGAGAAGCCCAGGACCAGACAGATTCACAGCCAAATTCCACCAGAGGTACAGAGAGGAGTTGGTACCATTCCTTCTGAAACTATTCCAAACAATAGAAAAAGAGGGACTCCTCTCTAACTCATTTTATGAGGCCAACATCATCTTGATACCAAAGCCTGGCAGAGACACAACAAAAAAAGAAAATTTCAGGACAATATCCCTGATGAACATCAATGTGAAAATCGTCAATAAAAAACTGGCAGAACGAATCCAGCAGCATATCAAAAAGCTTATCCACCACAATCAAGTCGGCTTCATCCCTGGGATACAAGCCTGGTTCAACGTAATCCATTACATCAACAGAACCAATGACAAAAACCACATGATTATCTCAATAGATGCGGACAAGGCCTTCAATAAAATTCAACACCCCTTTCAAGCTAAAAACTCTCCATAAACTAGGTATTGATGGAACACATCTCAAAATAGTAAGAGCTATTTATGACAAACCCACAGCCAATATCATACTGAATGGGCAAAAGCTGGAAGCATTCCTTTGAAAATTGGCACAAGACAAGGATGCCCTCTCTCACCACTCCTATTCAACATAGTATTGGAAGTTCTGGAGGGCAATCAGGCAAGAGAAAGAAATAAAGGGTATTCAAATAGGAAGAGAGGAAGTCAAATTGTCTCTGTTTGCAGATGACATGACTGTCTATTTAGAAAACCCCATCATCTCAGCCCAAAATCTCCTTAAGCTGATAAGCAACTTCAGCAAAGTTGTATTCTCAGGATACAAAATCAATGTGCAAAAATCACAAGCATTCCTATACACCAATAATAGACAAACAGAGAGCCAAATCATGAGTGAACTCCCATTCACAATAGCTACAAAGAGAATAAAATAGGCATACAACTTAACAAGGGATGTGAAGGACCTCTTAGAGGAGAACTACAAACCACTGCTCATTAGAGAAATACAAATCAAAACCACAATGAGATACCATCTCATGCCAGTTAGAATGGCAATCATTAAAAAGTCAGGAAACAACAGATTCTGGAGTGGATGTGGAGAAATAGGAACACTTTTACATTGTTGGTGGGAGTGTAAATTAGTTCAACCATTGTGGAAGACAGTGTGGTGATTCCTCAAGGATCCAGAACCAGAAACACCATTTGACCCAGCAATCCCATTACTGGGTATATACCCAAAGGATAATAAATCATTCTACTATAAAGACACATGCACAAGTAGGTTTACTGCAGCACTGTTCACAATAGCAAAGACTTGGAACCAGCTTAAATGTTCATCAATGATAGACTGGATAAAGAAAATGTGGCACATATACACCATGGAATACTATGCAGCCACAAAAAAGGATGAGTTCATGTCCTTTGCAGGGACATGGATGAAGCTGGAAACCATAATTCTCAGCAAATTAACACAGGAACAGAAAACCAAACACTGCATGCTCTTACTCATAAGAGGGAGTTGAACAATTGAGAACACATGGACACAGGGAGGGGAACATCACACACTGGGACCTGTTGGGGGATGGGGGGGCTAGGGGAGGGACAGCATTAGGAGAAATGCCTAATGTAGATGATGGGTTGATGGATGCAGCAAACCGCCATGACATGTGTATACCTATGTAACAAACCTGCACATATATCCCAGGACTTAAAGTATAACTAAAAAAAAAAAAAAGAAAAAAGAAAAGAAAAAAGAAATGATGCTTCTCCTTTTAATATCCACTGGTAAAAATACCGTTCCATTATACATCTATAATGTTCAACCTTGTCTAGCATAATTCAAAGGTTTTGTCTGCAGGAAGAAACTGGGCTTTAAATTCACCTGTTAAAAGTAACTCAAATGAACAATTTTTAGACTGTTATACTTTCAGTCTTTTCTGACTATGAGATTTTAATAAATATCTACCTGTTTCTTCAGATATATTCTTCCATCTATAAAAATACTAGGCTGACTCTAGGCACACTGCTTAGGAGTTAGCCCGGCTCCACAAGGAGAAAATGAAAACAAACAACAACAAAACTCAAGTTCAAGACAAACTTTCAGCTCCTAATTTATCATCTGACATGGCCTCCAACACCCTCTGCTACATGGCCATTGCTTAACCCTCCGGCCTCATTTCTTTTTAATCCATACCCTTCCTTCTGGGCCTGCTAAAATGTGTACAGTTACCTATATTCATGTTCTGTTGCCTTAGCACATACAGTCCACTGTCTGGAACATCCTCTTGTCCCCACCCCTCCCCTCCTTCTTCTATCTACCTAACTTTTACTTAAGAAACAAACTAGACATCACCTCCTTTAGAAAGCCTTGCTCAACTCTGTGAGGCTGGGTTTGGTACTCCTCACCCCACTAGTATTATCTATCTATACTGTAATTTACCATTTATTGTTTATTTTTCCCAAACGAGGTGAATTTTTGGGTCAGAGACTATGCTTTATTCTGTTTTAACCCAAGGCCCTGCCACACAGACAGCGGCAACTCAAAAATCTGTAGAATAAATTAATGAATGAATGTCACAGGACAGGTGTTAGTTAATAATTAAGGCAACTCAGGAGAAAATATCAACACCACTTCTGTGAACTTTTGTGTTTGTTCTGAAATACAATGTTGGTACTAAAAATTAAAAACAAAAATTTTCCCCCAATATATGTGTAGATGGTAAAATGAACTTCTATAAAAATACCTGTATGCTCTTGGGAGAAACTCTGAAAGACAACAGATTATTTTGCAAAATTACACTACAAGTAATGAATAATGAACACCACTATGTTTGTAAGAGGTTACGTGAAGGTTACAATTCCCCTACTAGATTACCAAGAATAGTTTCCCCACTTTCCTCTCCAAACAGGAACTCAAAAGATGCAAGGATATGATGGTAGGAATACAAAAATACAAAGATCACACTCATCCCTTCCTAATAATCCCTGATCTGAATTCCAGACATATCTCAATTGTTTCAATACTTTAATGGGGATAGAAAAATCCTACACCATTTATGTTTTGCAAAATACATTTATCCACATAAAAAGATAAAGGAATTAAAAATACCTGAAACTGGAGCTGCTTTATTTAACAATCCAACATCTTCCTCAAACTCTGAAGCAAACACTGATGAAGGCAACTTAATTCCAGTGCTCTTGAAAAAGAAATTGCACAATGGTTAGGTTTATTTGGAAATACTTCTTAACTAGTGTACTGGGTTGAAGTCCCCCCAAAATCAATGTCCATCCAGAACCTCAGACTGTGACCATATTTGAAGTAGGGTCCTCTCTATAAGATGAGGTCTTACTGGACCATGGTCCTATAATGAGACCAATGAGGACAGAGACTCACAGGGGAGAATGCCATATGCAGATGACAGCAGACTGGAATGAGGCCTCTATAAGGCAAGGAACTCCAAGGAATGATCACTGGTAACCTTCAGAAGTTAGGAATGAGCCTACAACAGCCTCTCCCTCTAAGTCCCCAAGAAAAAAACCAACCCTGCCGATACCTTCATTTCAAACTTCTGACCTCCAGAACCATGAAGGAAGAAATTTCTGTTGTTTTAAGTCACCTAGTTTGTGCTAATTTGTTACTGCAGTCCTAGGAAACTGTTACAACTACATTCTGTGTTCTCTCACCTGTGCTCCAGGTTGTATATATGTTAAACATGTGGCCGGGCGCGGTGGCTCACGCCTGTAATCCCAGCACTTTGGGAGGCCGAGGCGGGTGGATCACCTGAGGTCGGCAGTTCAAGACCAGCCTGACCAACATGGAGAAACCCCGTCTCTACTAAAAATACAAAATTAGCCAGGCATGGTGGCACATGCCTGTAATCCCAGCTATTCGGGAGGCTGAGGCAGGAGAATCGCTTGAACCTGGGAGGCGGAGGTTGCGGTGAGCTGAGATCGCGCCACTGCACTCCAGCCTGGGCAAAAAGAGCGAAACTCCGTCTCAAAAAAAAAAAAAAAGTACATTCCATCGTAAACTCAAAAGCAACTCTTTATAATACATCATAGTGCTTTCTCTAGTAAATTATTCCATTTATCCCTCAGATCCTATGAGTTTTCACCATGTTTTAGCAAAAGAACGAAAACTAAGAAAGTTTAAATGGTCCACCCCCGAGAATGATCAGTTAAGTGAGATTCTGGGATTCAAATCCCAGAGTTTCTTAACTCCACTTGCCTGAAGTTTCAAAACAAAATTAAACTTTTTCCTCTTAAACTAGAGATAACATCTTAATCTCTAGTAATGGCACAGCCCTTGTATGAATTGGCTATCTTAAATCCTTGGGTGGTTATAAATCATTTTGCTCTGTCCTATGTCCCCTAGAAATCTCTTACTTACAGTGATTTCACTCTATTCTTTGGGGCATCATCTCATTATGTCCCCTAGAAATCTCTTACTTACAGTGATTTCACTCTATTCTTTGGGGCATCATCTCATTTATAGTTAACCAAAACATAAATGACTGCAACCGCTCAGATAGCTAGTCTATATCCAGTATAACCTCCATACCCACGGCTAGATTAAGCTCCTTTAATAGTTTTATCATGTGACCTTCTTGAGTTTCTAACAGGTCTCAATTTTTCACTCTGTATTTAAGACCCTGGTTCTCAAGGCCCTATAAAATCAAGGCCTACTCTGTGTATCCAAATTTCTCAGTTATTCTATACGACCATGCAAATCAAGTTCATTCCTCAGTCATGTAATAATGCAAAACACTTTACTTGGCATGCATGTGCCTGACACTGAACCACAATGCTAGCTGTCTCGGCACCCTGACTGAAAAAGTTCCTTCTCCTGTCAACAGTACCCACCGCTTGGTGGCCAGCTTAGTTCCTACCCTCCCACATGAAGCCCTTTCTGATCACTGTCCTAGAACTTCCCTTGTGTGAACTCCCCGCCTTCTTCACACAGTGCAATCTACTTAAACATGTGCTAGCCTACATTCTCTGACTGGTTCTTATGCTTGTTTCCTCTCCTTGACCAAACAGTTGATAATGTGAGGACAACCACCATGTGTTATTTATCTCTGTGCACCTTACCACCTGCCCTATCCTTAGCCCAGGAGGAGGCACAAAGCTGGAATGTGCATCCTCATTGGCTCACTGAGAAAGCTCTGAATTGGAAGCCTCTGAGGAGCATGAGTAAAGGCTACATATGGCAGTGTACACACAGCAAGATGTTACGGCTTCCAAAATGAGTTTCTCAGTAGCATAAACATGGGCAAAGATTTGTTATTTTGCTATAGAGCACATTTTTAAGAAAACAGCTTTACTAAGACATCATTCACATACAATTCGCCTATTTAAAGTGTACAATTTAATGTTTTTTAAGTATATTACATTATTAATTACTTAAAATTACAGCAAAATCTACATAGTGTTTTAGCCTTTAGGCTTTTAAAAAGGTACCTTTGTGATATTTATCCTTAGAGGTTTGGGGTTAAACACAAGGTCAGCTTGTGTTAAATGAATTTACCTTTGTGAGATATTTTTCAAATCTTGAAAGAAAAGAATCACATACACGATTAGAGTTTAAAGAGGAATTACTTTTTTTTTAAGAGGAGTACTGTGTTTTCATTGGTTGCAGTAGTTCTCAACTACGTGGTGTTTGCCCAGCTACTTTCCACAATGGCACCACCCTCTTTCTTTCATGTCAAAATCAGGGCCTGCTCAAGCATCAATCACTTCTATGCTGCCTTTTTACACTGTCTCACACTGTTTCTAGGGGTTATTCATTATTTCTAATCTATTTGAATTTGGTGGTGTGTTACAAATTAAAGTAAAAAAAGTACATGGGACTAATCCATATTTTTTCATAGCTGTACAGAAAACCAACGACAATTTTGTTTTTAAATACAATTCAGTTGTCCCTGTAAACATCACTGAATTGTCCATTTAAGAGCCTTATCCTGTTAAAAAATCAATTAGTGATTGCTTTTACTCAAAACGAATTAAGGATTAAAAGTACTGGTCAATACAAGCCAGGCAAGACTTTACTAAGAATTTTCACCCTTAGATAAACAAGTTGAGCCACTATGGAACTCCTTCTCTCCCTCAATAGGTTATAGAAGGAAGTGAGCCAGTAAGTCCCTACTACCAATAAAGCCTTGAGGAAGAAGAAATAAAGAAGTTGGTTCTCTATGACAGAGATGTGATAGGATTTGGGGCGTTACAAAAGAGTCACAACCTAGTTAGTGAACAAGCAGCTGCAGTTACTACCTTTCTTTGGGATGATATCCTGAAACCGAACCTTTCGAAGTATCCTTAAGCAACCAGCTATTGCCTGTAAGAACTACAATCACAACTTCCCCAAGGAAAGGAATGCCTAGACCATGACAGAATTGGGGAATTAGGGGCAGGGTAAACTGGTGCCCTTTCTATCTCTTACTTTTTGTTTATAAACCTAATGAATGTCTCCTTTTTCTAAAGTGCTAGATGATATAAAAGTTTCCCACAGGGAAATTTACTCTACATCAAATTAAAAATAAGGTCACAAAGGCATACAACATGGACATTCTTAACATAAACAAGAGAGAAAAACAGAACTTAGACTAACAGCACTAATTTCATATAAAGACGTACTATCATTCGTCCTGAAAGAGAAGGTATTAAAGTGGACCGAACATTAGTTTACAAGACAGGAATGTTATTATCATCCACTCATTCTGTTTGCTTATGAGTAGCCTGCAGCTTTTACAAAAGTGTTAAAGATCTAAATGTTCCACAAAAGTTAAGTCCTATCTTAGAACAGAGTTTATGATCCTGAAACAGTTATGTTGTTAACATGTAGAATGTCAGCTGCTTTTCTCCTATTGAAAAGTGCTGTCTAACATGGCCATGTCTATCAATCGAAAGTTCTAAACCTATAAAAAGGCTGTTGCGTTGACACCTGCCACCAGAGAAGAGGTGACCTATTCTCTCCTGATGGTACACACGTGCATACACATACATAATTTTAAGTGGAGGCATGGTCTATCTTTGTGCTCTTCATACAGACACCATTTCTTGCCCCAAACAGTTACCTTGATTTAAAAATGATTTCTTCACCCACTCCCACACTTAAATTGCTGAAAAGCCTTACTGGAATGACTAGCGATTCTTCTTTCTCTTCTCTCCGGTTGTGTGCACTGAAGGTACTTGAGGGAATAAGCTCTGAGGGCCCAGATGGTTCCTTCAGGTGCTGCAGGTAGTCATAGTCATCATCAAAGAACACTCCATACTTCCTCTGTTCTGCTCGCCTTTCCTCACTGTCTATCTATAAACAAAATGGAATTAGTACTTTCTTCACTGTTTATCTATAAACAAAATGGAATCAGTATGCCTTCCAAGGATAAGGCAAGGAAATATTACAATGAGTACAGCTTTCCAAGTAGGAAGCAGATGGCACATGAACATTTTGGCTGATGGGAAAAAGACAAAGAATCCTTGACAAACAGGAAATGTACAGCTTCAAAACCAGAGTGCTACATAACATTAAAATGGAATGAAAACATTCATGCTTTCAAAAGGGCAATAAAAATAAATAACAATTGCTCCTTCCGCTAGACATTTATGTGCAACATTCTGAGTCACGAAATATACATACAACTTATTTTATTGTCTATTTGGAGGGTTACAAGAAAAGACTTCGGGGGCCAGGTGCAGTGGCTCATGCCTATAATACCAGCACTTTGGGAGGCTGAGGTAGGACGATCACTTGAGCCTAGGAGTTCAAGACCAGACTGGACAACATAGTGAGACCTCGTTTCTACAAAACAGTTTTAAAAATCAGCCAGGCCCGGTGGCATGTGCCTGTAGTACTGGCTACTCTGGAGGCTAAGGTGGGAGGATCGCTTGAGCCCAAGAGGTAGAAGCTGCAGCGAGCTGAGATGGAGCCACTTTGCATGCCAGCCTAGGCAACAGATATTTGGGTGCCTTAAAAGGTAAGTACAATTTCTTTTATTTATATGCAAAAAAAAAAAAACCTTCTCAACATACAATAAAACTAGCTTTACTGAAAAGCGAAACATGGCCCATGTCCCCCAATACTCTGTTTCCCAACACTCTGTTTCATAGTATCTACACTTAATAAGTAGAGTCTAACATTAAGTGAATCTTTTCGAGGCTCCCTTGCAAAGTTCCCTGAGCTAACCAAGAAGCTCAGATATTTTACATTTCCTAAGATAAGCAACCAGGAGGCAAAATGCAGTTTGTGGTTATAAAACAGCAGGATCTTAGAGAAAGCACAGTTTGAGCATTTACGGGTGCCCTAAATAACATCATGCCACATTGTAGCTGATGCTTTGGTAAATATTTACCATTATTCTACAAGATTTGCTCATTTAAACATCTCTAATAAAGATCTTTGTCTTCCCAATCAAAATAACATGAATGATGTAAAAATCAGCAAATTGTACTGAAAATTAACTTATAGATTATTTCCCAGAATATCGGTTATCTGAGAATAACAGCTGACTTAACAATTTATTGAAACTATTAACATGGCCCGGCGCGGTGGCTCATGCCTGTAATCCCAGCACTTTTGGGGGCCAAGCTGGGAGGACTACTTGAGCCCAGGAGTTCGAGACCAGCCTGGGCAACATGCCGAGACTATTTACTTAAGAAAAAGAAACAAACACACAAAAAACCTATTGTCTACCTACAAACTGACTGGCTAAAGAACAGGACCTACTTTTTGTGTGGGCAACAGAACCCTCTGGGGTGCAGTCTCATCTGCTGCTAAAGGATCTCGTTGGCTCCGGTGGACCAAGTGAAAAGACACAGCTTTCTTCTTCTCTATAAAGGGTTTTTTCTTCCTGTGAGGCTTCAAAGGAACAAAATCACAACAATTAGTTAAAACAAAACAAAACGACAGAGAACAATTCCATAGTTCACTCATCCATCTTTAGTAGTCATGTTAAAGATAAATACTTTTTAAAAATCTACACTTCTAGGGCAGGCAACATCAGCTGTGTTCTGTAGAATCCATACTTAACCTTACGTCAACATACATTCCTTGAGCACCTACTTTGTGCCAGACCTTGTTATGGGAACTGAGAATACAGAAGTGGGAAAGTCAGATAAAGTCCCTGTTCTTAGCAAGAAAATCAGGATAATTTCCGGTGAAAATATATAAGACAGTGACGTGAAAATGACTTAAAAGCTACTTTACACTGGCTGCTCAGGGAAGGCCCCTGGCCAACTGAACCAGAATGACAAGAAGCCTGCCACAGCATAATCTGGAGTAGACAGCTCCACATAGGGCATCTACCAACCAGCAAATAAAATCACGATACAAAGAGCTAAAGTTTAATAAGATCCATCATCCACTTCTACATTCTTACTTCGCTATTCAATTTTGATTCTCTAAACTGTGAAACCAATTAAGTGGCTTTACTTCGGGCCCAACCTTATGCTCTCCCACAAGTTCCCTTTCTCAGAGCAAACAGACAGGCAGACACCTGCCACTCCAACGCTGAGGGAGACCAGCAGCTCCCTCTGCTCGACCCCAAGAAGCACAGGGTGGTGCGTTTGTGTCCGCAGTCACAAGCTTTTAGCTAACCGAAAGCGCACAGGGCTGCAGGCTCCCAGGGGTAAAAAGGAGGCCATTCTCCTCTCCGGGCCACATCCCAGGGTGGCTCGGCGGTGCGAGACTGTAACTAGCAAAGAATGCCCGGGGTGGTGAGGATGGCCCATTTCAGGGTACTGTGCCGCAAGCAGCCTCCGGCACGACCTAGACCCAGGCCGCAGTACCCAAGGCATTACCGGAAGCAGCCTGGCCTCTGCAAAACCGCAGCGCCCGGCCGCCGAAACAAGTAAGGCTTGCTCACCATGCTGCAGCCGCGCGGCGCTCACCCCCAACAGAGGCGGCGAAGATACCCTCGAAGTCCAGCGGGGAGACCAAGGCCCAGCCTAAGGCCCCCTCTGTATGCCTCACCACACGTGCGACCCCAGCACCCGGCGATAACGTCACCCAGTCGGCCATGGAAATGGACCAATCGCCGAGGAGCTGATGCGCCGTGACCGGAAGTTACGTAACTCGCTGCGTCTACACGATCGCGGGAAGCTACCGGGAGGTGGGGCTAGCTTGGCTCCCAACCCTGAGCCGGCTGTGTTTTTCCGGCCTTTAGTCTCCCGCCGGGGAAAGGGAATGGCGTGGCTCCTTAGCGTTGAGGCGCCACAGAGGGGTTTCTGCTTGTGGACGAACCTCCTTTTATAACTCCCTCTACGGAGATCAGAGGGGACGAATCTAGTATCGCCGTTGATTTGTGTCCCTTACCTATTCCCAACCATAAAACAAAGCCAGGGACACGGAAGGGAGGCGACCACCCCGCTGGGGTGCTGGGGGCGCCAAGTTTCAGGTTCCCTCTCCGGGTGGGGGCGGAGTCGGTTGCCGCAGCAACGGAGTCCGGGGCCTAGCTTTTATAGACTGCATCAGACTTGATCAGGTTTTATTTTCCACTGCTTAATGAATTGCTTTCATGTGCCCTGTTAACCAAACCCCCGAGACTCTGTTAACTCTAGAGGCATTTGAACTAATAAAATATAGTCAGAATCTCTGGTTTTTGGGTGTTAACTCTCTCCCACCGTTTAAACAAATAGGCTATAAGCACGCACTCTTAGGAAGACTTCAGGCCGGTGTTGGCGCATTCACATAGCTTTTCTTGGACAAAGGTGTGTGGTAAATGCAATCACTTTCATCAGCAGGCCTTTTTTTCAAATTTGTTTCCCCCACTTCCCAGCTTCTGGTGACCTCTCAATGAATGAGTTGCCTTGGATTATGTCTTTATGCCGTAGGCATTACCACTGTATTTGTGGAGTATTATCCTTTTATTACAATAAAAATTATAGAAATAGGCCAGGCGCAGTGGCTCATGCCTGTCATCCCAGCACTTTGGGAGGCCGAAGCGGGTGGATCACCTGAGGTCAGGAGTTCAAGACCAGCCTAGCCAACGTGGTGAAACCCCGTCTCTACTAAAAATACAAAAATTAGCCAGGTGCTGGGGCAGACGCCTGTAATCCCAACTACCTGGGAGGTTGAGGCAAGAGAATAGCTTGAACCCGGGAGGCGGGGGTTGCAGTGAGCTGAGACCATGCCATTGCACTCCAGCCTGGGTGACAAGAGCAAAACTCTGTCTCAGAAAAAAAATTATAGAAATAATTTAGGTTAGGACTATAAAACTTGTCTTGGGATATTGCTTTGTAACAGAGATAATACATAGCACTCCTATGTGCCAGAGATTTGTTGTTATTATTCGTTATATACAATTAAGAGATCCAAGAGGGCAGTTTTTATTTCCTTTCAATCAGTTGTATTTACTGCTGTATCCTCAGGGGCCTGATGCATGGGGCATATATGCTCAGTAAGTATTTATTTAAATGAATTAATGTTCTGGCGCTTTATCTGCATCATCTCATTTCATCCTCACCGCAACACTATGAAAGATATGCAATTATCTTCGGCATCCTACAAATCCTAAAAATGAGGCAAGAGAAATACAAATTAAGTACTAAGCCCCCCAGCTGACTGAACGGACTCCCTTTTGGCCAACGGGACCCAGAGTAACCTTGAAAACTGAGTTCTTGCTTTGCCTTGTTATATCCCTTCCATCACTAACCAGGATCAGGCTTTCTTCCCTAAGGGATAAACAGAAACCATTCCTTTCAAAAGACTCCACCGCTGATATTAGCCTGTTGCTGCCCTTCCTTTTTTGCCTAACAGACTACCCACCATGGGGTAGTTTTTGTCCAGTCTACAGAGCATGCACAGTATGGATTTTATTGGCCTCTACTTCACCTTTTGACATCAGAGGCTGAAAACTCTTCAGATCATGCTGATGCCCCATTTTTTGTACGTAGGACCCATGAAGGGGTAATGAAGCTCAATTGCACATTTACATGTTTCTCCCTTCATAAATATTCATGATTCCTCCTATAGCTTATTAAATATGTGTATTCTGCCACCTTGCTCCCTTTCACTTTGCTCCTCCCTCAGAATGTATGTTTTTGGCTTCTGGCTGGAGGATATTCCCAGCCTGTCAGAAAGGCCACCCTGCAGGCTGAAACCCTTATGCGCCTCATCTTTCTTCAGGTCAA